TGAAGAAAAGGGCACTCTGAACACAAACAGAGATAGTTTCATTTGTGCTGATAGGTGATATTCAAGATTGTCAGAAATTCAGCTCAGGAAATAATTACAGAGGATCTTTTAATAATCCATTCAAATAATCTGGAGAAGTAGATGATATGTAAAACTTCCTTCTTCATCCCCAATTATTTCCATGTCACTGCATCTGTTATTAAACACCCACAACAGGCAGTGTTCCTTCTCTTCTCTCTCCCCCACATCTAAAGAAGTAAACAGGCTTTATACATACAGTGTCTTGAGCCCTGTGAGACCTCTAAACATTCGTCCATGCACAGATTCCAGCTGATTCCCTGTCAACATCAGTTCCTGCACTCCCGCTGCCCCATCAAAAGTGCCTTCACGGATCTCTTTGATCTTGTTATTACTTAAATTGCTGAAAGAGGAAACAGATTCACAGGCAGCATTATTTAACATATGTTTTCTGTAAGATGTTTGCACTGGCAACAAAGGGGTGAACAATAGCTGAAACGAAGCTAAAAGAGTGGAACCAATTTAATTTCCAGGACTATTCTGAAATCTGAATTGCAATATTTCACTCTCCTTCCCCCAGGAAAGAGGTTTTTGTGATCTATTTTTGTTTTCTCAGGGAATTTCTTTTTTCTTTGAGAATTTCTTTTCAATTTCTCTTGGTGGTATTTTTGAGCCTCTTTTATTGACGGAAGTGGCAGGAGGTGCTACCATATTGCTGCTAGTGTTAGTTACACAACTTTCCATCACTCTGCAGCCTGCATGTCTGCCCACACCTCTTAATCTGAAAAGCCCCATGGGTGGGGTTTCCTTATAACATCTTCTTTGGGATTTAAGTGAAGGGTAGAAAACAAAGCAGTGCTATAATTTGTTGAAGAAAAGATTGTACAGGAATAAGATGAGGCATTTGAATTGTTTAGACAGAAATTTGGAAGCAGTGAGTTAAATTGTTATTACTGATACTGTGGAAGTAAAAGTCATTAAAAAAATCACATAATACTTCCACACATTCTATTTGCCTACACACAAAAATGCCATACTATGAGAATTTCTTTGAAATTTTCTTCTTTGAAAGAAATTCCAAAGTACATTTTCACTCATTAAATTAAATAAGAATTGGTAGACCAAAAAAAAAACACCCCACCAAAAAGGGTTTTTTATTTTTATTTTGGCATGGCAATAGCCTTTTCTGCTTCAAAATTGTCATTCATGCTGAATTCCTGCCACGCTTCTGAACATTTCATTTTTTGAAAATAACCACATTGCTGTCCATTCTGCCTATGATTTCTGGCATATCAGCTTCAGGACAACTGCAGTACGAGGCATCCCTGTGCCAGCAGAGCATCCAACCTGTTCTCATTTAAAAAAAATTAGGACATCTGCTTTTATTTTAAAATGCCATATAGTTGCAGTAGGATACCTGAAATTTGATTGCAGATAGGAAACCCATAAAATCCATTAACATTTAACCCCAATTTTATCTGCTATTCAGTAAATTATGCTTAGGATCCTCGTGTTGTATTTGCTTTGTTTTTGCATACCCACTACATTCTATTCCAATAGCAGGCTCCTAGTCATTCCACATTCAAAGAAATGAGCTTGTGTTACTTTATTTGTGAAGCAATCCTACTAAAGAGGACATTATATTATCATGATTAAGGGAGAGACTTCCACCGTTTAAAGATGGATTAGCTGCATCAACAACCTCCTCCTCCTCCTCCTCCTCCTCCTTTATTAACAAAAATAAATTCTATTATTATTTATATGTAAAACACAATTGTGTTTTAAATGTTTTATTATATTCTAGACATTTTTACTATATTTTAGCCTGTTGTGAGCCAACACAAGTCTTGAAGATTTGCCAGCCCAGAAATTTGATAAAGTAAATACATTTTGATAGCAACACTTTAAAAGATTATTTTTTATTGTTTCACAGACTGAGATAAACCAACATATACTAGAACTTATGCAACAATAAAAATACGTTAATAAAAATGCCATAAAACCATGTATCAAGGAGAGTGGTTTTAGCCTATAGAAACCAACTGGTGTCTCCCTCACAGTTCTGGCTTTGTGTCATTTTCACTAAAGCCTGGTCTTGTCTATAACATAATAAAATCATCATCAACTTTAAAATATTTCTGCCACCCCAGTGCAGCTTTAAAAAAAAATGCTATGCTAAAACAGATCTTGCCACATAACCTAAACCTTAAGAGACAGAAAAGAAAGGATGGGAATATTTCAGAAAGAAAACTGTACTAAGAAAGCTTCCTGGCAACTATGTGAGAGAAGACTCGTGACATTTAAAGTATGAGACTGCAAGCTGAAGAAAGAACCATTTGGCAGCAGGATAGCTCTGGTTTACATGCCATATAAAATCTATACACAGCAATGGTCATCACTGGGCAAAATTAATTTGGAAGACTAGGTTAGGCTTGTATGAATAACTGGTAGCCTGTTCTGTGTTTCCTGAGCAGCAGAGGCAGCTTGACTGTACAGCTTGTGACCCGTCACCTTTCTTGCCGTCTGAGTCAATAACAGAGTAAAGCAGCGGCAACAATAAAGCACAAAACCAACCACAATCATATGAGCTCTTTTAAAGTGACTTCACACATTTCATTGGTAACCATAATATAAGATTTTCCCTTTATGTTTAGTGTCAGGAACAGCTCAGGAAGAATTTCACAACAGAAGATTTTCATTTGGTGCTGAACTGTGGTCTGATGAAAAATAAAGTTAAGCATCTCTCTGAATCCTAAGATTATAAGAGTTGCTTTGGTAATTATTCTGCCTTTTTGTCTAATAATGAGCGTCCCCAAAGGCTATTCCTATCTTAGCCTTTTGAAGACATAGGCGGGTTCTCTGAATCACTTTCCAAGAACAAGATGTGTGCAAATATACAGTATGAATTGTCATATTTACTTTAAAGGAAGAAGATTCTTAATTTAAAACAACCAGTTACTACACCCATAGCAAAAAAGTAGCCAAAGGAAAAAAAAAAAACCACAAAAAAATCCTAATTGGCTTCTATTACTGTATTCTGAGGAAAAAACAAAAAAAACTTCCTTTCAGATTGTTGATTGATTGATTTAGTGGACTTGTCCCTGCCCATCTCCCCACAATGGGGGACTCTGGGCGGCTTAAGTATACCCTGGGAAATCCATAGACTGGTGAACTTCAAAATTACTTCAAATTCATGCACCTTTGCCCATATATACTACAAGGCTATTTTCTAAACAAGCCTACAAAATTTGTTTGCCTGTAAAAACAAACAAGCAAACAAACAAACAAAAAAACAAATCCCCCCCACCAAAAAAAAAAAACCCCAAGAAAAAGAAAAAAAAACACTTTATACCAACTGGACTGAAAGCAATGTATCATTAGAAGAATAATGTATTTTTGTGAAGCTTTCCTTGGAAGCATTCAGTCTCTTGTCTGCCAATTCACTCTCTTGTGTGAATGTCATTCTGTGTACTTATCAGGTCCTGAGAAGGGCACGTGCAATGTTTTAGCCAAGAGCTTATGCAAAGAGAAGAACACTTATGTATTATATTTCTCATCCAGTAGTACTTATGTAAAAAGTTCCAAATCAATCATATAAACGTAATTGCTGCCATACCATACTGAACTCAAACTAGCTTTAGATGAACTGGAATGTCAAAAGCTAATAGCAGATTGAATCTAGCAGTAACACAAAAACAGATTAATGTATTTAATGGCTACAACAGGTTGAGATGCATAATACTGACAGCCTTCTGTTGAGTGGCTTTGATGTTGATAACTTAAGGAGAAAAATTTCCTCCAAACAGCCACAAATAGTTTTGCATCAATATACCAGTTTCAGTATGTGACAACATGCAAACTTTTAATTGGTCCTAATTGTGAGTTCTGCCAATGTTTTTTGACATGGAAGATTTTTGCCCCTAAATTCATGAAATATTTCTCATATGCTAGCAAGCACCATGGGAGTTTAGCACTGAGATATTCTTTTCTTCCTAAATATGTGCAATTCACATTCATTACAGGCAAGCATCTAATGGCTTTTCAGTATTCATGATGAGCTATCATGTAAATTTGTACCGAGGGACTTCTTAAAAGGAGACACAGTTGACCCTGAAATCAATTGTGTCAATGAATCCTTTGGTGCTGCTTAAACACACAATTTATTGACAGAACAGACAAAGGCTCTAAATGAATGCTACCTGGCAATATATACTTTTGAAGCACATATATTTTAAGGTGCTGTATTTAATTTTCACAAACACTGGTAAGTTCATATGTTGCCATAGTAAAAAAAAAAAAAAGACTAATTTTGGCTCAGGAACATCAGCACTCAAAACTGCATAGAACAGAGAAGTCCATGATGGCACACTTAATATGGTACTTCCCTCTCCAGAAAACTGCAGCTTTAGTCTTTCTCTTTGCCAGCTGTAACAAGAGCTGGGTGGCTGAGTTGGGAATGCCTCAAGCATAGCACTGTCTTCCTTAAAATGGAAAGATATGAGGTGAATAAGATTGAGGACAGTCAACCTTGTATGTGTTCTTCCTGAACTACCTGCCCTGATTATTGTCTCTCTTAATGCCATTCTGGACAAAGTTGGAAGTGCTGGTTTCATCTTGCATAAGCAGCCTTCATCCATATGGTATAAGGAGAGCAGCCAACACTTGAATGGAAGTGTTCTCTTGGGCACATACCTTCTCCTGCAGAGAAAGGCACACAATGGATGGACCCATCCAGGAACTGTCTGCGCAGTATGGTGAGATGTAGATTGATAGCTCCCTGCCTTATCCTGCATCTGTGCTTCTATAGATGATGTCAGTCCTTCCCTTCCTTAAGCATTGCCTCCTATTATCATCTAGTCCATCCAGGCAAACAAGGAATGGAATTGGTCTCTGGACTAGGTCCAGTTCCCCACTCTTTGTCCACAGAATATTTACTTATTTACTATAGTTTTATACTGTTTTATTTCCCAAGGGTTCATGGCAGTCTTTAAAATCAGAACACATTAAAATAACTCAATAAACTGCATGATCAATTAACTAATCACATATAAAGTCATATATCAGTAATACAATTAAAATGAATATAAATAGGTATCCAATGAGCAAATGTTAACTCACCAATGCCATTCTGAAAAATTATGTTTTCAAAATATTCCTGGAGGTTAGGAGTCAAAGCATCATCCATATATCAGTGAGAGGCTGTTTCAGAAGATGGATGCTACCACAGAAAAACACTCATTTCTTACTCTCCCCTCAGACACTAGCAGGGGAGGAACACATAGCATGCCTACTCAAAAGGAGCATATAGGGTGGGTAGTATTCCTTGGAAGTAGACAGACCTGCAGCTATCTGTCCAAAATCCATGTAGGGTCTTGTAAATCAACACCAGCCCACTGAAATCTA